CTCCATCCTCTATTCAGTCCCCTTTCCTGCCCAGTAACAAAGAGTTAGACACAACTGAAAGCATTGGACTACAAAAGGACAAGCTGAGCAAGGGTAATCCCTCCTGCATGTCATTCCAACAAGTTCTTAAACACAGTCATTATGTCCTTTCTCTCCCCTTCTCTCACTCCCAGGTATTTTCTTTTCCAACATATCCATTCTGAATAAGATGTGTAAAAAAAGATGTGTGTATATATATGCTTGTGTGAGTGTATGAGTGTATATTTTAAGATACTTTGCAGGAAATTCTCTATCTGTTATACAAAGGATGCTTCAGATCACTAATGAGTGGAGGGATTAAATAAACATGTGAATTAACCTGAAGTAGCAATTCCCTTTTAAATGAAAGCTTAAAAAATAAATAATATATTTTGAAAGCCAATACTAGAGAAAGCTTACTTCCAGTAAAAGATATTTCAAAGGGCTGGCTGTGTTATAAACACCACTTACAACCATTATAACCTGATTTGCACTGTGAATCATTTCATATGCATATCTGATCTATTTTGCATAATTCATCAATCATATGAAGATGTGTTTTAGGCTGACTTGGCATGCAGGTCCTGTTGCACAGCTTTAGGAACCTTGCTGGTTAATTTCCCACGAAGTCCATCCAATTCAATTCCTATCTCAGCTAAAATCAGGCTCTTCCTTAGGGTACTGAAGAAGGCAAATAACTTTTTCAGGATATAGGTAATGCATTACTGTTCCAGTGCATTAACAGACACCCTAGCTGGCTGAGAGCCATCAACCCAGCCAACTCTTTTGAGAGTAAGTCTTTAGAGAGGTTGAGTACAATCCCATTATTATTATTCCAGTTTCACCCCTAGGATGAATGAAACATATAGAACTCTATGCTTATGTGGATTTATTTCTACTGACATTCAATTACACTTTATCGACTATATCATAGTGGGGAGTAGCTAGACTCTATACAGGCTATGCTGCATACCTTGAATGAACTTTTATCTCTTCAAACCTTGTGCTGCCTTTAAGGCTTGGATCATATGTCTCCTCCTAAAGGAAGCCCTTCCTGATTCTCCTAATTGTTGGTGCTCTCTCTCTTCTCAAATAATATTCTGATTATGCAGAAATATACCACTCCCCCACACTCTAGCAACAAATAAGCTCTTAGAGTCAAATCAAGTCAAAAAGTATTTATTATGAAACTACTGTGTGTAAGGCACTTTACTTTGCTAAGGAATAAGAAAAAAACAAAGCTCCTTCTCTCAAGGTGCTTACAGTCTAATTGAGAAGACAATATGCAAAACAGGATCCATCTAGGATAAACTGGAGACAATCTTAGAGGGAAGGCAGGAAGAAAGAGGGGGACTGAGACAGGCTTCTTGAAATAAGTGGAAGGAAAAGATAATTTCTTTTCTTTTTTTCTTTGTATCTAGTTTAGTCCTTGGCACTCAGTGGGCATTTAATAAATGTTTGTCTTTTGGATCTTCCAATCTAGTTCAGTACCTTGTTTGGAACAGCCTTCTGTTGAATTCTAATGATAGGCTTTATGATCTGATTGGTAAGTATATAAGCAAAGATTTTTAAGAAGTAAAAAGGGGCGCTAGTAAGATAGTGCTTTGAAGAAAAATACATATTTTGGCAAAAATATCTTAGAATCTAAAAAGTACCTTTAAAAAAACTAAGAATATTGTAAATTCACCATTTCTCCACATGTACAGTAACATGGCTTGCTAACAACCACCATTATCAAGCACATTAACTCAGCATCTAAATACATGCAAGACTATTCTTAATCCTTGTACAAAGCTCCAATGAGTCAGTTTTATACTCAGGTTACAATCTTATAAAATTCTGTAACCAAAATCACCAAATAGAAACAATTTATAGAAGCCTAGATTAAACAATGTGTTCCCTAAAGGTTTTTGACAAATCTCAGATTTCAAATTATCTAAATTAAGGGATATGAGATTTCTTTTTTCTTAGTTGATTTTTACTTTCTCAACCAATGCTCACTCTGGAACTTACCATCTTAGAGAAAGATCTTGAAATAGCAAAATTGGAAAATTTAATATGAATTGGCTTTGAAAAAGCAGTATATTGAAAGTAAAAGCCTGAATTCCACACGTAACTTCATTATTTAAAGAAAAGGAAGAGGTCCTTTAAGAGGGAGTATAGAATAACACCCATCACAAGTAAATCATGTGCTACTTATCCATGCAAAAAGAGTTGAACAGATTCCTTAACAAGGTAAAGCTCCCATTCTAGTCTCTAGCTGACAGACTCCAAGCCTACAGAGAGTAGTATTTTTCAGATTTGATGCAAGGGATGAAAACCAGATGACCTTCAAGGGGTCTCCAGGCTATTCTTTATGATTCTTTAAAGAGCAGAAAATTATTCATGGAATCAATGTGATTCAGAATTCAACTACAGGACAGGAAGAATCAAGCTTGATAGGGATAGGTAGCACCAATATTATGACAGATGAATTTTGCTATATATAGCATACAGTTTTCTATAACGAAAGATAAGATTAAATGCTATTAGATGAACTTGCTTAGCATAATGATTTATTCTTTTCTGACTTAATTTTTTAAAAGTTTTTAGAGATGAACACCGAAGCACAGCTTTGACAAATGTAAAAAGTTAGTTCCTTAATACAGTTCCTTATATATGCAGCTGGATTCCAGATTAGGAAATACTTCAAGAAAAAAAAAAACTTCTAAGTTATAATAATGAAAAGTTCAAACAATAATACTTATGAGAGGTATAAACCCATTTTTCCTGCCTGGAATCAAGTGCATTTCGACAAAAAGAAAGAGACTAAAAACTTCAGTACTCACAGCTAACCTTGTAAGGTTATTATGAGGATATTATCAGCTCCCCACACTCCAGACTATCAGATAAAGATGATGATAATGATAGTAATGACAAGAGGAATGAGGAGGCAAAGGGGAAAAAATAGAGAATGAGGAAAAAAGAGAAAGAGGAAAAGTAGAAACAAGAGAAGGAGAAGGAAAAGCAGGAGGAGGGGGAGGGAGGGAGGAAAAGAGAGGGAAAAGGAGGAAGAAGGAAGATGAAGGAGGAAGAGGAAGAAGAAATTTGTATGTATGTAGTATTTTAATTTTTTAAGCATCTGATTTTTTTTTTCACTGTGACCACCAGTACAAATTGTAGCCTATGATTTAGAAGATGGCCAAAAACTTCATCACCCTGTAGTCAACTGAGTTATGATTATCTCCAAACAAGGATGGTCCTCAACTTTCAAACATTCCTGATGAAAAGCCCAGAGCTAAACAGAAAATTTGACTTTCAAATACAGGACTCCAGTGGAACATGAACAGGTAAATAGGAAAGGGAAATCATAAGAGACTTATTAAGACTGAACTGTTTACATTCCTGCATGGAAAGATGATATTTGTAACTCATGAGACCTTTGTCAGCATTAGGGTAGTTGAAGGAAAAAAAATTGCATCTATATAGGTATAGATAGACAGAGGGAACAGGGTGAGTTGAAGACTAAGGGGTCATATCTGGAGAACAAAATTAAGGGATGAGAGGGGATGATACTCGGAGAAGAAAGGGAGAGGTAGAATGGGGTAAATTATCTCACCAAAAAAAAGAAAAGAAAAGAAAAGTCTCTCACAGTAGAGGGGAACCAGGGGAAGGTGAGAGGGAATGAGGGAATCTTATTCACATAGGATTTGGCTTAAGGAGAGAATAACATACACATTCAATTGGGTATGGAAATGTGTCTTACCCTGCAGGAAAATAGGGGGAGAAGGGGACAAGAGAGCAGGGGGATGATAGAGAGGAGGGCAGATTGGGAAAGAGGGTAATCAGAAGCAAATTCTTCTGAGGAGGGACAGGGTCAAAAGAAAGAATAGAATAAATGGGAGGGCAGGATAGGATTAAAGGAAATAAGAGTTAGTTTTTCACAACATATCTACTAAGGAATGTTTTGCATAACTGCACATGTACAACCTATATTGAGTTGCTTGCCTTTTCAATGAGGGCGAGTGGGGAGGGAGGAAGGGAGAAAATTTGGAACCCAAAGTTTTAAAAACGCATGTTTAAAAAAATATATTTTCACATGCAATTGGGAAATAGGAAATACAGGAAATGGGGTACAGAAGTCTATCCTGCTCACAGGAAAATAGAAGGGGAAGGGGATAAGAGAAGGGAGGGGGGAGAGATAGAAGAGAAGGCAGACCAGGGGAAGGGGTATTCAGAATGCATGCCATCTTGGGGTGGGGGGAGTGGTGAGAAATTTGGAACTCAAAAAGTTGTGGAAGTGAATATTGAAAACTAAAAGTAAATAAATTTATATTAAAAAAAAACAAACACAAGGATGGTCCTCAGAAAAACACATGTAACCCATCAATGAAACCATCATAAAAGTTCTTTCCAGAATGGTAGAAACTACTAGTGGTTGTGGTGTACAACTTGCTTTCATCTTCTGGGAAATTTATTGCCATTAGGGGAATCACTTGCTATAATCCACAGGATAATATAATGTAAAGAGCATTGAATTTGGAATCTTGGGGGTTCAAATCTTTGTTTCCCAGTTTTTCGGTTGCATGTGATTCTTCATGTCCCCGTTTGGGATTTTCTAGACAAAGACACTGAAGTGGTTTGCCATTTCCTCCCCCAGCACATTTCACAATGAAGAAACTGAGTCAAACAGTATCAACTGACTTACCCAGGTTCACACAGCTAGTAAATCTCTGAGGACAAACTTGAACTCAGGAAGATGAGTCTTCCTGACTCCAGGATAGGCACTCTATACACTGTGCCACCTGCCTACCCTTGTTCAAACCCTGGCTTTACTAATTACTATCTCTGTAACTTTGGGAAAGTTATTTCATATTTTTCGTACTCATTTCCTCATATGTAAATTGGGGGGTGGGAGGTGGGGAGGAAGTTTGTCCTTGGCACCTTGTAATGTTCCTTCTGACTTTAAATCTATTCTCTCATGATCCTATGAACAGAAATTACAGAAAGAACACTGGATTTAGAATAAAATTTCCTGATTCTCACATCTGCTACTTCCATCCTGGGTAAGCCTGAGCATATCTCAAAACATTTCTAAAATGAAAGCATTGAACTAATGACCTCTTAAGTTACTTATACCTCAAAGACTGCTAAGTCTAGCATGATGCTTCTTTATCAAAATCGGTAATAATGGTGTGAGTCAGGGAATGGGCATCAGACAGGACAAGATAGACAATTGGAATTGCCTTGTCTAAATCCAAAGCATGACAATGCAGCAATGTGAGGTATTAAAAAAGATCCCAGAGATTACAGCTGAAAATTAAAGAACCCAGTGTGCAGTAATATGCTAAGCACTTTACAAATATGATCTCATTTGCTTGGTAGACTGAACTCAGGAAAGTTAATAGTGGAGATCATCTGCTTTTGCCAAAAGGAATCTAGAATTAAGGCACAATTATTAAATGGACCCTGCATTTGTAAGAGTTTGGGAGTCCAGCGGAGCCAAACAGAGCCATCATTTTGGTAATTTTTCTTGCTTTTCTGAACACTTGTGATATCTTCTTATCTCTTGATGAATATGATTCTCTAAATCACACGCAGTTTTCAATAGCAATCATAGAATCAAAAAATTTCAGAGTTGGAAAGAAACTCAGGAGACATCTAGTCTAACGAATACCAGGAAAAAGAATCTTCAGGAGCAGCATAATGGAGAAGTGGTCAACCAGCCCCGGTTGGTATAAAGATCAAATGAGAAAACATATGAAATGCTAAGCTACTGTTATTGAATGATATACCTTTTGATTCCCTAAATCTTGCTACTATCCTCACCATTCAAAGGCTGTTAACAGATCTCTATGTCCCTTTCAGCTCTCCACCTGTGATCCTGTGTTGTTATTTTTAGCAAGGCCTTCTTGTAACTTTTACACATTTGGAAAAAAGGTAAGAGACTGACTCCATTACATAATCTTAAAAGAGACAGACAATAAGCCTACTCAAATGATATTAACTCTGTTTTATATTAATTTGTTGCTAAGAAGTATTTTATTTCTGGATGATACACAAAACAAAAGTTTCAGAATACCACCTAAATAATTAACGCTGGTTTAGAAGTATTATCTAGGAGTGATAGTCAAACTGTCCCAATTGAAGTGCATGTGACTGATATGTAAAAATGTGGGTGTTATGGCACTCCTCATACATAATGCACTGTGGCAGATAGGCTGAACCAGGTTGAGGGCAACTGACAGACTTCATGTGAAGACTTCCCCCAGTGGAATGGGCAGAAGAGATCAAGTTGTCCCAATGGCCATGAAACCCCAGCTGAATCATGTGCTATACAACGCTTAGAACTTAGTCAGATATTGAAGATGACATGGTCCCCCACTGCATCCTCAACTGTTGCCAGTCTTCTTGACTCTTTTTTTGCCATTGAACTTAGGTAACATTGGATGAAACAGTGAGACTGAAGACTTTGCAGAACTCTGCCTCACTTAACTCCAATTTGCATCATGTCATTCGTCCTCTTTGAAAATGAAGGATGAATAACAGCTAGACTCAAGAGTGGTTTACTCCAATAATGTGACTCCTTTCATTAATGATGAGTTAAATTTAATCTCTAGTCATATAACTTTCAAGGCCATTGTTTAAAACAACAACAACAACTTTGTGTTGAATCTCACAAATTAAACAAACACCAAGTATTCTAAGCATCTACTACATGTCTGGCACTGGGCTAGGAGTGAGACAAACCCTTCTTCAAAGACAGAATAGTTTTCATTCTGAATTATAACAACTCAAAGGTATAGATTACTTAAGTCACATAAAGCATTTCAAAAAATTTTTTCTGTACACTCACCTGATCTTCTATCATGCTGTGGCTCATTATAATTTCTTAAATAGTGTTTTTTTTAATAAAACAGAAAGTAGAGCTGATTTAGTATCTCTTTATTCAGAATTTCCTCCAGAACTTTTATGAACTTCCAAAAAATTACATAGGTTAAGGCCCAAGAATAGTGGCAAGATCACTGGTTCTGGACAGAACACCTGGATTAAAATTCTCACATACTTAGCAATTATGTGACCTTGGAAAACTCACTTAACTTCCCTGGGCTTCAGTTTCCTTCCATGCAAAATAAGGGGCTCAGGTTAAACATTTGATCCTATGATACCATGAATACACTGATATTCTAATGGAGTTGTAAGCTTGCTTTTTTTAAGTGTTTTTTTTCTGATTTTGATTTTTAAGTTTTATCGATGTGCTATGTTTTATATTACAAATATTTACAGATCCTTTCTACTACATAAGAAGTCTCTTGTAACAAATTAAAAACAAGTAACTTGAGGAAAACTATCAACATGATGGCCTTATCTGAAAGTACATACAGTATTCTGCATCTGTAGTATGCTGCCCGTTCTATATATTTTTTTACTTAACAATAATTTATTTTCTCTCCCTCCTACCATCTGCTCCCAATAAAGAAAAAGAGAGAAAAGAAATAAAATTTCCTCAGAATATACAAATAGCCAAGCAAAACAAATTCCCTCATTGGCCATGAAGAAAAACATTATGTCTCATTTTGCAACCTAAATCGATCACTATTGGATGGTCATTGTACATTGGATCACATTGGATGACCATACCTATTATGGCTTTTAAAGTTTTTTATCTTTACAGTAATTTATAAATTATTCTTCTAGTTCTGCTCTTTTACTTCTACATCAGTTCATATAAATATTTCTAATGTCTGTTAGAAGTTATCTATTTCCTCATTGCATATAGCACAATAATATTCCATCTCATGTATGTAACATAAATTATTCAGCCATTCATGAATTACTGGACATACCTTCAGTTTGTATGATGTTTCTGTTTTTTGTTTTTTTTTCCACCACAGAAAGAGTTTCTCTAAATATTTTTGTACATATAGGACCTTTTCTTAATTTTTAAAATCTGTTTTAGGCCTAGCACCGGGTCAAAGGGATGCACTGTTTAGTAACTTTTGCGTGTAACGCTAAATTATCCTCCAAAGTGGTTACACCTATTCACAAGTCCTTCATCAGTGCATCAATATACCCCACAGCCTTGCCAACATTTATGTTTTTTTCATTTTTTTCAACTTGGTCAATTTGATGGATGTGAAGTGGAACCTCAAAATTCCTGCAATTTACATTTCTTTATTTAGTAGTGATTTGGAACTTTTTTTCTTATGACCAGAGATAACTTGGGTTATCTGAAAGTGCACTGCCCCTTTGAAATCTGTCTGTACATACACTTAGACAATTTATCAATTGGGGAATGGCTCTTTTCCTTATAACTTTTATTTAGTTCCTTACACATCTTGAAATGAGACCTTTATCAGGAGCTGAGGGAATAAGCATGAGAAGAAACAAAATTATAACATTTTGGAGATAACATGATGGTATATTCAAACAACTCAAAAGAGTCAACTAAAAATATTGAAACATTAACTTTTAAAAAATTCAGAATCTAGAAGAGACAGAAAGAAAAAAATCAATTTCAAATTACTTCAAAATGTATAAAATACTTGGGAGTCTACCTTCTAAGATGCACAAAAAAAGCTACATAAATATAAACTACTGTTTACAAATAAAGACAGACCTAGATAGATGAAAGAATATTAATTGTTCCCAGTCAAGATGAGTCAATACAAAACTGACAATATTACCTAAATTAATTTACTTATTCAGTGCCACATCAGTCAAATTACTAACAGATTACTTAGTAGAACTAGTAAATATAATACTGGAATTCATATGGAGGCAAAAAAGGTCAAGACTCTAAAAAGAAGTAAAGAAATTCAGTGGGAATGAAGTGTTCTAGGAGAACCAAATCTTAAACTGTAGTACAAAGCAATAAATTTTTTTGAGAAAATTCTTTTTAATTTTCAGTTTTTCTCCTTAATAGTATTTTTTCCAATTACATATGAAGAGTGTTTTCAGCATTTATTTTTGTAAAATTTTGAGTTCCAAATTCTTTGTCCCTCTAACCTTCCCCATTCCTCTCCCTAAGATAACAAGCAATCTGGTATAGGTTATTCATGTACAATCATGTTCCACATTAATCATGTTGTGAAAGAAGAATCAGAACAAAAGGGAAAAAACATGAGAAAGAAAAAAAAAGTGAAAATAGTATGCTTTCCTCTGCATTCAGACCCCATAGTTCTTTCTCTGGATGTGGATAACATTTTCCATCATTAGTCTTTTGGAATTGTTTTGGATCATTCTATTGCCAAGAAGAGCTAAGTCGATCAGAGTTGGTCATCCCTCGGTGTTGCTCTTACTGTGTACAGTGTTGTTCTAGTTCTGCTCACTTCACTCAGCATCAGTTCATTTAAGTCTTCCAGGTTTTTCTGAAATCCACCTGCTCATCATTTCTTATAGAACAATAGTATTCCATTGCATTCAGATACACAACTTGTTCAGCCATTTCCCAACTGAAGGGCATCCACTCAATTTCCAATTTTTGTCACCACAAAAAGAATTGCCATAAATATTTTTGAACATGTGGGTACTTTTCTTTTCCTTATGATCTCTTTGTGATACAAAGCCAGTAATTGGACAGAAAAACTTAATGAGGTCTGATGTTAGGAAATGCCTTGGCTGGGGATATGCAAGTAAAAAATGCTGGAAGGTACATTCTGACGCCTCAGATCAGAGGTTAAGGAGGAAAATAAATCCATAAATCTCCTCTAGCCCAGACCCTCCTAGGAGGAAGCCCCTTGGAGTATGATGGAGAAAATGAACACCAGTAGATAGTAATATATCTGAGTGCCAACTGCTCTATTCCTACACACTCTCAACATTTCAGATATTTAACATTCTCTATACTCAATCCTTTCAAAACAAACTACTCCACATCATTTGATTCTGAACACGAATCTCAAAATTAGTCACCCAAAACAATAAGATTTCAAGTTACGAAATACTGCAGAAGCATAAAATTAAAATCATGAATAAAAATGCAGAAAAGGTTTCAAATATTGTTAGATGATTAGCTACAATCAAAGGGGAGAAGCCAAAAGTAAATGGTCCCCCAAAGATAGTCAACAATGCTTGCTACAGAAAAGCTCTTGCAAGCTGGGAGGCCTTCAGCAGCAGTCTGTTAAAACTCTAACATGGAAAATCAAGACAATAAGGTAAAGGGTGCACTAGTGACTGTTAAACTGTGAGTTTTTACTTTTATTGAAAAAGCAGTTAGCACTAAGGGCGAGTTACATTCAGCTCCCCTGAACTCCCTAATCCCCACTCCCCCTTCCCACATATGGGCTTCCAAGTCTTTTCTCCCTGTCATTTACTGCTATGAAGTTGTTTCAAGCCAGAACATAAATTGCAGCAGGCAGCAGATTTGACCTATCTTTTATTAATCACTTCCCCTTGAACTTTCATAAACTCTAAAAATTGTATAGAGTGAGCCCCAAGTGTTGATTTGATTTCTTTGAATAGTTTGAACTGAACGAGGTTGACCTAGGGCACAAAGGCAAAGAAGACTGTGCATAAGGAACATTAGAAGAACAAATGCTTCTTTTCAAACTATGGTGCAAGTGGAAAGAACTTCAGCTTAGGAGTCAAAGATTCCAAGTTTGAATTCCAGTTCTGCCACTTAATAAGGTCTGTATGGAATTAGGCTCAGAATCAGTTTCCTAACCACATAGGAGGGCGACTTTCACGGACATGTAAAGTTCCCATGGCTGTGAATCTACAGTTTTCTCTTCTACATGGTGGTGTCCAGGGCATGGTGATCCCACAATCTAGCATATCTGTGTAAAATGATTTGGTCCTCTCTTCATACCAAAAAAGGAGTCTAAATTTTTTTGGTATCAAAAGATAAAATATATTGATATTATACGACACTGTACATATATTTTCTGCATTTCAGACTTTTTCTATATCATCTGGGGTTTCTGCAAAACTTCCCATTTAATTTCTTATGACAACCAGAAATATATTAAAACCCTGATAGGGAAAGTCATGATGTGGAAGAGATAACTGTTCAATGAGATGCAACTGCACTGAGTTTATGGCCAGGTTCCATTTTCTCCCCTGATAATAAAATCTCACATACTTTTCCATGTAGAGAACATAGAAAAGAGGAAAAAGTTAGAGACACAAAAAATTAATAAATCAACAAGCATTCATTAAGCATCTATTTTGTGTTAGATACTATGCTAGGTAATGAGGTTACACATACAAAAGTAGAAAACTCCTTTCCCTCAAGGTGCTTGTAGACAACATGTACGTATGTATGTATACAGAAAAAAGTATATAAAAATAAATATAAGGTAATTATGGGAGGATTGTTTCAAATAAATAACAACCAAAATTCATGAAAAGGCATGGCAAGAGGTATAATAAGCAGAGCCTAGGAGAGTTGTTTCATTCATATGTACAAAGCACAACAGGCACAACTGGCAAAAGGTTTCCCATTCAAGTCCACGACTATCATGAAGCCACCTGCATTTGACAACTCTTTGTGAAGGCTGTTCTGGACTCCCAAATATAACAAACATTCAACTCTCATTTACCAGGGTATTCATATGGTTCCTATTCAGGATGTTGTCCAAGTCACCATGTCTGAAGGTATAAAGAATACTGCCAATCATACCATTTCCAACTACACTGCCCCAAGTACCTCCCATAACCAGAAAGTAAAAGAACTTTTAAGAGTCGTTAATCCTTACCTCTGCCTTCTCTCAGCTATTTGCACCTCTCTTATAGTTAGTGGTATTCAGGTTTCATCTCCCCTACTAGATTTATGTTCCAATACACATTAATTGTTGGGTTTTTTTGATTACTCCTTTATTTCCCTCAATACCTACAATATAGCTTTGAATGTACTAAGTATTTAATAACTATTTATTGAAGTGAGTTTATTGCCATAATTCAAAAATACTTGAAAAAAGGTTCTTTTTTATACTATTTTACTTTTGCCCAGTTACATATCAAGAAAATCTTTAGCATTCATTTTCACTTGATTTTAAGTTCCAATTTTTTCATCCTTCATCCCTGCCTCTTTCTGAAAATGTTAGGCAATTTGATACAGTTTATACATGTGCTATCACATAAAAAAAATTTCCATCTTAGTCACACTTGTGAAAGAAGAAACAAATGCAAAGAAAAAATAAATAAGTGAAAAAATATGCTTCAATCTGTATTCAGAGTTCACCAGCTCTTTATCTGCATATGGATAGCATTTTCCATTGTAAGTCCTTTGTTCTTGTCTTGGATCACTGTGTTTCTGAGGAGAGCTATGTTCATAGTTGATCCGCAGTTAATCATAGTTGATCATCATGTAATGTTGCTGATACCGTGTAAAATGTTTTCCTGGTTCTGCTCATTTCACTCTGTTGTTCATTCAAGTCTTTCCAGAGTTTTCTGAAATCTGCCTGTTCATCATTTCTATAACAGAATTCCATTACATTCACACATCTCGGCTTTTTCAGGCAATCCCCAATTGATGGGCATCTTCTAAATTTCCAATGTTCTGCCACTACAAAAATGGCTGCTATAAAAATTTTTGGACAGGTAGGTGCTTTTATCTTTTTTATTATCTCTTTGGGATAGAATGGTATTGTTGGATGTAAGCATATGCAGTTTTGTTGCCCTTTGGGCATAATTCCAAATTGCTCTGCAGAAAGGTTGGATCAATTCACAAATCTATCAACAATGCATTAGTGTCCCTATTTTCCCACATCTTCTCCAACACTTATCATTTACATGAAAAGAGGATTCTTCTTCCCCCCCCAGGCAATAGATTTAAGTAACTTGCCCAGGGTCACACAGCTAGTAAGTGTTATATGTCTGAGGCCAGATTTAAATTGATGTTCTCCTGAATCTAGGGAGGGTGCTCTATGTATGCACTGTGCCACCTAGCTGCTCCTGAAAAAGATAATTCTTAAAGACATTTCTGCATAATTATTTAGTTAGGAAAGGCACTTCTTAAAGATGTAACATAAACAGGGATTCCTCAGAACTAAATCTGGTAGCAAAATCACTTAGAAACATGTAGACATGGTAATAAGATTCTGAAAGATGTACACATCATTCCCATCAAGGAATCTGATGAAGACATCGAATTTCTTTTTTTTAATTTAATTTTGTTGAAAATACTAACAAGCATTATTTTCTCTATTGCCATACTCCCCCCACCATGCAAGTGAAAAAGAAAAGAAAAAAGAAAAAGAAAACTCAAGTGACATATATGAATATTGAGTAAAGCAAATTCCCTCATTGTCTTTGTATAAAAATATAGAAGATATCCTATTTACCCAAGGAAATCCTTCCCAGTGGGAAGAATCAAGCCCCAATCTAGCATGTAATCATTTAACAAAGCATTGTTGTAATATATCTCTTGCTCAAAAGCTTGATAACTACAAATGCAACTCAATTTCCTCAAAATATGCTGTCTAGATTAAATCAAATGGAAAGAAAATTCAGAGAAAATTTATTTACTATCAGGTAGCCTACTTCCATTCTTTCAGGTAAAGAGAAACAAATTCATTATTATTAACTGCAAGAATAACTTACATATTTGCATAGTGTAGGCGAAAGAAAAAACCTTGGCAGTCGACAAATTGCATCTGCTTAATGCCAAATGAAGCTGCCAAAAAGCATGAAGCAGTGAGAAGAACAAAATCATGCTACTTTTGAAGAGCTAATACTTGCACTTCAGCCCCAAGCTATGAAGATTTACACATATTGTACTATAAATGTGGAAATTTCATGAGGAGATAAATAAGTATCAGCTGACAGGGTGATGAGCAAAGCAATAACTATGATATTTGCACCTATATCAAGAGTAAAGGTAGGAAATCTCTGAAAAATGAGGAAAAGTCCTGTGATAGCAAGGCAAACAAGAGCAAAAGCACCCCAAGAATGGTGTCCTCTAACTTCTCTATGCTACCCCATCCTAGTTTTAATTTCCACTAAAATCCAAAGAATGAAAACTCATGGGCATTATTAACAAATTTAAAAATTAAGAAAATGATTATATACTTGTCATAAATTTTGTACGTAATATACCCAAAAGCTCTTATTTTGGATACTAAATTAATAACATTAACTAGTGTAGTTTCCCTCAATTCAAGATTGCAATTATAGAAGTAAAAAATGTATACCAAAGCATCAATCATTAGTACTACCTGTTGTTTTTAAGAAAACAAACCTTCATACTTCTTTGGATAACAGATACAGAAAGTAGCGAGTATCCAATATTCTGATAAGCCTCTTATTCATTGGAAATGAAAGCTCAAATTTTCAGATCAAATTTTGAGAAATAATTGAGCAGTACTCCAGAACTGAAAAGTTCAGAAGATGATCCCCTATGTTTTTTTTTCTTTTAGGGTAGTTAATAAACCAAATTTTGTTGGCAAATTTTAAGGAGAAAATAATTAAGAAAAATCACATTTTAATAAGCCTTATACCTTCAGGAACACTGGAACACTCTAAGTCTCTCTTATATTTTCTCTTCCTATGAGCTTTATGTGATAAAATGTTGGAGCTAGAAGGAGCCTTAAGAATCTAGTGTAGCCTTTACATTTTATAGAAAAGAAAACTATGGCCCAGAAAAATTAAAGTGACTTATCCCATCTCACACAGCTGAGAAAGCCAGAGATATAATTCAACTTCATTTACAATGCAGCCCATTCTTCCCTTCATGAACCAAATTTTGCTTAAGACAGTATTTCCTTATCCCTTCTCTTGAGTTTTGGAGAACTTTGAGACTTTTCTCTAATATTTCTTATTATTAGATGAGAAGGTATATTCACAATCATTTAGATTAGGATACTTTCCAGACCTTTTCACCTTGATAAAGGGTAATGAATGGTGTCGGGTCCTCATTGGGGAAAAGGCCATGAAATATAGTAAGAAGTGAAAGCCATAAACTTAAACTCTGTGAAAGGTAGAAGACCTGACATGTTGACCTCTTAGAAATCATAATTCAGACATTGAGTCATAACTTAGATACTCTGAAAGATGGAAGTTATAACATGGACATAGTGACCAGTTTCATGATCTATACATGATCAATACATAAATCTGTTTTTAGGCATTTTACCCTGACTTAACACCCAACTCAGAAATGAGCTCATTACTAAGCAGAAGCCCAAAATATCCACCAATCAGTAGTGATATAATTTATGGCTCCACCTCACTTTTTTTGATTTCTATAATTACCACTGGGCTTTCCTGGGGTCTTTGCAGGGATCGATTCATTATTGAGACTATTTCACCTGACATCCCCCACAAACTGGCCCCTATCTAAGTAATATACTACGATTATTAAAACCATTTATTAAACTCTATATTTAATCATAAAGGAGTGAGTCCTTTGCCTCTTTTTTTGGTATCAAATTAGGTCCTCTGATTGGGAAAGCCAAGAACATCCCAGTTCACAGGGATATTCCTTAGGAAAGATAAAGAGTTCTCCTGCAAGGAGAATTCTGCATCCTACAAATGGAATGTCCTAGAATGATTCACTAGATATGCAGATATGTGAGCATTTAACCTTCTGGTCCATTGTATTCCAGCAAATTGTCTTTCTGGAAAACAGGGTTAGCTTTGGATTTGAAAAAGAAAAGATACAAGTGGAGAAATTGCCATCAACAAAAATAGAAAAGAATAACAGCAATATTATAGGCAGTGGGAAAACAAAGAGCTTAAAAGATACAGACCTTGCCTTTGAAGAGCTTACAGTCCAATTGGGAATTAAGTACATGGTCATTTTTAAAAAATACCCTAAAGATCAAGTGAAATTGTCATATAGCAGGGGCCTCAAATTTTGCTTCCCTTTGGAAGGTAGACTAAACATTTAAGCCTAAAGAATGTTTGTGTCATGTGTCTTCATTCAGATTATTAGCCACTGGAGTCCAGCAAACACGTCAAACCTTATTTTATAGCTTACACTGGCTGTTTATCTCTGCCACATGTAATTACTATACACTAATGAATATAGAAGAATATCATAAAAAAACCCTTAAATGACAGGATTTGAAAATCCCCTTTTCATCTAGAGTCACTAGATCAAGGAGTGAAGGAAGGAAGGAGGGAAACAGGAAGGGAAAGGAAAGAAGTAAGGAGGGAAGAAGAAATAGAGGAGGAAGGAAGGAAGGAAGGAAGGAAGGAAGGAAGGAAGGAAGGAAGGAAGGAAGGAATAAAGGAGAAAAGTAGAGAAATGGACTTTAATTAGAATGCCTTTTCATATGTTCATGTCTAGGAAGGAAACAAAACTTCGCAAGGATGCTTGAAATTTACTCATAATCCACAAGTCATTTATTAATACGATGTATCAGCTTTCAGAGAATCCACTGCATACCGATCCCCCAGCTATTACTGCTCCATCCTCCATCCACCATTGTTTTTTCTACTTTGTATACATATATTTAGTATTTAATTATCGATATAAATACCTATATATCTATCTACATCTAAATGTTATTACCATCCAATCGAAGTAAGTTCTTTGATGGAAGGGACTGTTTTTCATTTACTTTTTGTCCTTGTCATCCTAAGGTCTGAAACAGTGTTGTCAAAGTAGGAGATGCTTCGTTTCTGCATACATGAAGGGAGCTTAGCAGAAATTTACCTTTTTCTGTGGAAGAACAATTTCTTGAAAATATAAAGAAATTAGTAGAGCACTAAGACTGATCAAATGGATGCCAACTACAAATTCCAAATCCCCACTCCCTGATGATACTGAGCACTGAGTTTAATCTCTCTCAAGAAATCAAAACAATTTCTTTCCTTTGCATTTCTTTGCTTGTGGAAGTTACAGTGAAAACACTGTTAAAGTGTCATTGATTTCATGGATATGCAAGTAGATACTAATTATTATTGTAAAGAACAATTTAGAGCAATGGAAAATCCTTGATTCCTTGAAACACTTTTATTTGAATGAAAAGAACATAAGCTAGGGGGAAAACACTTTTTTTTTCAGCTCAGAACTACAATCAAGAATGCCATAACAAGATAACTGAACCATCCATTGTTATACAGGTGTTAAAAGAAAGATTTTTTAAAAGTACTTTGGAAAAAACCAACTAACATATCAACTGTGCATGTTAGGACATACAATATTCTATACTCATGACGGGGCAGCTAGGTAGCACAATGGATAGGGTGCCAGGAAGACTCATCTTTCTGAGTTCATATTTGGCCTCAGGCACTATCTATGTTACCCTAGGCAAACCCTGTTGGCCTTAGTTTCCTCATCAGTACCTTTGAAAAGAAAACCCCAGTTGGGATCAAATACAGGGAAATACAACTGAAAATGACCAAACAACAACAGCAATAAATCATAGGCCCTGACTTTTATAACGAATGAAAGGAAAAGCGTTTGTCTTTTCTCTTTTGCCAAGTTTGTCAAAAGTCTTTACTTGACAATATCATCCTACACTGATTTGCCCTTCTCCAAACTCCTATATCACTTACCATCTACAGCACATAATTTAGCAATTAATCACATAATGTCTCATATTATTACGAAAAGCTTAATGTGGCTATATATTTCAGCTCTCCTT